CATAGCTATGGTGCAGTTGGTCGGAGATCCTCACCCCGTACTGTAAACCAAGACCAATCAAGCCGGGGGAACGGCGAACTAAGTCAACGTTTGGCTGGGACTGGCATCGCACGCCGGTGAGCAATCCATTTGGAACCGCGATGTGCTTGCCACCATAAGATGGCTTTTTGAAAGCTAACTGGATGGATATGTTGAATCGCGCGTCAGCTTACCAGATTAGTCGTGGAAAAGTTAGATATCGTTTTAGGAGATAAGTGCTTGTAGGAGAGAGGTTATAGGAGAAAGCGAATGATGGCGGGAGGGAGGAGAGGGGGAAGTGGGAGAAGGGGAGGAAGGGGAAGAAATTAAGTGTGGGAAAGAGAGAGAGAGGGGATAGAGAGAGGAGAGAAAGAAAGAAAGAAAGAAAGACAATATAGGGAGGAAGGGAGAGGGAGAGAGGGAAAGCGAGAGAGGAAAGGCGAGAAAGAGAGAGACGGAAAGAGAGAGACAGAGACAGAGGGAGAGACAGATGGAGGGGCGGGGGAGGAGAGAGAGAGAGGGCGAGAGAGTGACAGCACCACTTGGCTGACCTACCTCCAGCACCCCAGAGGCGGCGGGCGCAGCGCTCCTGCCGCCTCCAGCTGCCATCATTCAGCGCAATCGTTGCTTTCGGACGGGCACGTAAAGTACTGCCGACATTTGGTGGGATACGACGAGGGACATTTAGAACACGGGCGGTGGGTACCAGGAAATGGAACAGGGCTGGTAATGTATGAGCGTTTCTAACCTGAGCGTCGATTTCGCCGCTTTATAACACCTGTACAGCGTGTCAGGGGAAGGTGTTCAAGGGGCGTTAAATGTGGTTCACGGGTTGGGAGATATAATGCACGTGATATCTCCTCGAAAGTAGGTATAATTCGCAGAACAAATTGCCGCATTACAAGCTGAAGCGCTATTATCTCAAGCTGCACTATGTAATTTGAAATAAGATAGTTATTTCAATTTATACACCAACCATTATGTACCAATGTCTATTGATTGTAATTTTCTCCGTTGCCAAAATATTTCTTACTCACAAAATCACCATAGGATTATAACCGACCAGACGGGGACTCGACGTCGTCCCGCTACTTGCACCACATCCACCGCAACCCGGCCAGCAGTTTGCATCCATAACACCCGCCGGCCACGCCATTTGCATTCGGGGTTACCATGCACGCTTGCCGAATCAGCCGATCGGCCAGCTGACAGTATCGGCAGCAGGTGGGTGAGCCGGCAGGCGCTCTGCACACGGGTTAATCGCAAGGGCCGGCGGTATCCCCTGGCACGCACATCCTGTCAAAAGAAGACTGCTCCATTTTTGTCACGAGGATCGCTAAGCTAGTTTGCACTTGAGACGCCGCAGCGGGTCTGGAAGTAGTTCAAGTCTTTTGGTTTCATTTTATTTGAACGCTTGTCAACAAATCGACCCTTAAAGCACTGACAATATGAAGCAAGCCTACAAGAGATTGCACTCACAAAACTGGGACTAGCCACTGACGACTCTTTTCTCTGTTGCAACCATTCCAGCTGTCACCGGGACACAGTCCACCCCGCCGATCAGATCCTGGCCGACAGGGACCGGTCACCACCGAGCTCCAGCTTGAGAAAGACCAGAAACCACCAGGGCAAGCTCGGCTGAGACCGGACACCATCGGAACTCAGCTCGACATAAGGCCGCACACTACCTGACCAAGCTCGACGTGGACCGCACACTACCATACCAAGCTCGACGTGGACCGCGCACTATCAGACCAAGCTCGACGTGGACCGCACACTACCAGACCAAGCTCGACGTGGACCGCACACTACCAGACCACGCTCGACAGGGCCTGGACACCACTGACCCCGCCTGACGAGACCAGAAACCATCTGACCCAGCTCGACAGGGGCTGGACACTACTGTGCCCCGCTAGACCAAGACCGGTCACCAGCGGACCCGGTCCTACAGGGCTTGGCACTACTGTGCCCCGCTCGACCGAGACTGGTCACCAGCGGACCCCGTCCGACCGCGAGTGGACTGCTAGCCGGCCGTCGGCACCGTTACCACTCAGCACTCAGCATCTGGTGCGGCCTTCCCTCTCCATCTCGGAGTAACGGGGCGGGCGGCGGCGGCGGGCGGCGCCGGCGTCCTTGTCTGTACCCGGAGACGTCTTCCCCCTCCGCCCCGGCACTTCAAACCACATCGACGCAAACTTTGCGCCGGGTCGAGACATCGATCCCCCGGATCGATTCCCCGACTCCCGGCCGGGCACCGCCTCCCCGGCCGGCCTTCCCTGCCGCCGCCGCCGCCGCCGCCGCCGCCGCCGCCAGACGCCCGCGTGCGGCCGGGCTGGCGTTCAGCGCAGCTGCGCCGCCGGCCGGTCAGTCGTCCCACTTGGGCGGGCCGTGCAGTGAAACACACCCGCCGGCCTGCACGTGCTGGGTGGCGCCGGCGGCTGCCGCTGCAGTCGCCCCGGCCTAGGGCGCGCTGCCACACCCTGCCGGCTCGGCTGGCTCCGCGGGCCCTCGTGCGCCCGCGCGGACACCGGCCTCCGGACTGTCGGAGGGTTCGGCATGCGAGGCACGGCGCCGCCCGACGACTGCCATTGTCGACTGTCATTTCCTCTGCATTTGACATCTGGCATTGCCGGCTGCCACTGCATCGTCAGTAGGTGACAATCGTTTGAAATCAGCGTGGTGCACGTGGGTGGATACGATGGTTCGGCTGGTCTTAGGCACGTGGCAAAACGGAGGGGTGGAAGGGGGGGGGGGGCAAGGGGCTTGAAGTGCATGCTCCCTCTCCTCTCCGAACCAACAGGTTTGAACCACGCAATTAGAGATTTAGCGGTTTCACAAGAATTCAGTCCAACTTCGCAGAAGTTCGTACAAAGTGTGACATTTCTCCGCCCCAAAGAAGAAGAACATGGCTTCGTGCGTGGCTGTCTGGCCGTGCCGCCGCCTAACCCGGGTCAATATCCGCCCTGCGGCCCACTGATGCCGTCCACACGCGGCGGCCGACTCCGGACGAGCAGCCTCCGCCAAAGGCGTCTGGCACCGCGTAACCCAGTTCGCGACCACAACAAAGCCTGAAAGCGCAGCGGTGGAGCGCGACGGCGGCTGTCTCGGCCACCGTCACATGACCGAACCATGTCTCAGTCACTGCCACGTGATTGAACCATGTTTAAGCCAGCGTCACATGACCGAAGCATGTCTCAGTCACTGTCACGTGACTGAACCATGTCTCAGCCACCGTCACGTAATCGGGCCGTATCTCAGCTGCCGCCACGTGACCAAACCATGTCTCAGCCACCGTCACGTGACCGAACCACGTCTCAGCCAACGTCACGTGACCAATCATGTCTCAGCCACCTTCACGTGAGCGGACCAGTCTGCCGGCCCCAGTGCGCCGCCGAGGCGGAGAGACCTACCTTGCTCTGCGACCGGGACGTGTTCTTGCCGACGGGCACCACAAACTGGCTGGGGAAGGTGCCCTGGCGTCCGTCCAGCAGTCCGAACAGCCAGCCTGCAACGGCAGGGGACGCCTGGTCACGGGCGGGTCACGACCGCATCACAACGGGAGAGGCACATCTGCCCTGACGGCGTCACAACGGGAGAGGGCACATTTGTCCTCAAAGCGTCACAACGGGAGAGGGTACATCTGCCCTGACGGCGTCACAACGGAGAGGGCACATCTGTTCAGACAGCGTCACAACGGGAGAGCGCACATCGTCCTCACAGCGTCACAGCAGAGAGGGCACATCTGTCCTGACAGCGTCACAACGGGAGAGCGCACATCGTACTCACAGCGTCACAGCGGAGAGGGCAAATCTGTCCTGACAGCGTCACAACGGGAGAGTGCACATCGTCCTCACAGAGTCACAGCGGAGAGGGCACATCCGTCCTGGCAGCGTCACAATGGAGAGGGCGCACCTGTCCTCACAGCGT